GGTGCCACAGGACTCCTCGTCGCTCATAAAAACCATGTTCCCCCACCCTCCCGGCTCTGCACACTCACCTCCATGTGTTGACTCAGCAATCAAATGGGCTTTTTTCCATTTGTGGGAGTGGGGAATATGCTTTCACTTCCATGCACGGACTTTGCACCTTCCGTGGATTCGCTGCACTTTCCCGACACACCTGGAAGATCAAAGCACTGTGGGATCCACTGCCTCAGCACGAGAGAACTTGCAGCCGCTCAAGTGGAGAGTTGTTGAGAGGTTAAAGCAGGTAAAACATATTCACGGGTGAGTCACAGATTGTAACGCCAGGGTCTCCGTGTATTGTCTCTGGAGATCTCCACTTTACATCTGGTAAACTTCCCCGTGAGAGTCCAAACAATCCAGAGATGCAGGATCCATCCATGAATCCACACATACAGCTTCTTCTCACAGAAAATCAGCTGCGGACTGCAGGATAAAAGATGCAGGTAACTGGGTAACATGATGGCAGGGGAAATTCAGCACAGAGAGGGTGAGATTGCGGGGAGGGGGTGGGAACAGTTTAAACGGAGTGACGTACAATGTCCGAAACAAATTAGTTAAACAAAGGGAGCACTGAGGAGAGATTCCACTCACAGGACACAAGAGGGAGCCAGCGCCCCACTCAGACACCAACCTCCCTGACCCAAAAACACAGAGGGGTTAGAATGAGGCTTGAAAGTACCAGGAAATATGAGACACGTCGACTTCACCTTATCCACACCAACTGGCGAGAACATAGCTCGGTCCATACTCAGCAACATTTACAGAGATGGAAAGTAAGAAAATCCCTGCCCGGAATCCTATCAGAGTTGGATTGAGAGCTCCTGACTTGGTACATTTTGACATGTGGGGTTGACAATTTCGGCTTCCACAGTTATAAAGCTTTAACTTTTTGCATCTCAGCGTCGACTGGGCTGTCTTTAAATAATTAGAAGCGTCAGGGGGTAGCCGAATTAGTCTGTACAGGATACAATTAAAACACCAAAACTGGTCTGGTAGCACTTTATAGACTAACAAAACATAGAGATGGTATCATGAGCTTTCGCAGGCACAGCCCTTTTTGGGTCTGCACATCCTAAACTCAAAACTCTGGTCATCTGAAGAAGTGGGCTGTGCCCACGAAAGCTCATAATACCATCTACATGTTTTGTTAGTCTATAAAGTACTACCAGATCATTTTTGGTTTTTTAAATATGACACACGCACACCCTTGGTCTCTGATCCCGCCTCAGTTCTGAAAACATAAGTAAATAAGAATAAAAAAGCTTAAAAATAAACCTTGATATTATCCACTGAAATTGTAAAAGAAAATATGGAAAAATCCGGTTCTGCCAAGTCTACTTACTCTCGACTTCTCTGTCCACATATAAATTGGTTTAATCACAATAGTTCTGCCCTCTAGTTCCGTGGTTTTCCCAGGACTATATCTGACAATATTATAGCAGTTTAATATTCGATATCCATACTTCAATTCATTCATTCGCAGACTGGGAAAAAGGGAAGTCTCTTCAAAGCAACATCAATGAAACACTTTTGTTCAAGGCTGCAAATTCACTGACTTTCCACCGGCTCTTGAGAAAGTGCTAAGAAACACTCCTATTAGACGTCCAGGGATTTTTGCTCTTTCAGGCCTCTGTCCTGCCTTTTCTAAAAGATCTTGATGGCTGAGCAATTCTTAACCAGTGGTGCGTGTTTGAATTTCAATAGCAACACCAACAAAGCAAGGTGTCCTATAATCGGCTCAGTTGGAATGATTGAACCCGCGACAACGAACCTAGCAGACTGCAGAAAAGCACACGCAAGAATGACCATTGATGGACCTAGCCTCCGTGAATGGATCTAATTGTTTTTAACCCATTTAAGGACCGGTGCGACGCCGGGTAAATCTGCTAGTTTGGAGGCCTTGCTCATGACTCTAAGAATAAACGTTGTTATGTTGCAACCATCCACCAAGACTGAGGTGTTTCAGCTAACCTCGGCTAGGAACTTATTCCTTAGGACCGGACGCTAATGATATTGAGGGTCCTAAAGCAGCAAGCAAGCTCTTCAACCAAGAGCCTGTTTAAGTGCCAGGGGTATTGAAGTGTCTAGTTTTAGTGCGACTGCAGCCACACGGATAAGCCAGCCCCAAACAGCCAGTGTGGGCAGCAGGGAACAGAAGTGAGATGCCCTTCCTCCACCCCCTTGGTGCCGCTGGCCTTGTCCTGCCATGCCGTGTGAGGAGGGGCAGGCTGGCATTGCAAAGAAAGCCATGATCTAAGCTTTCACCGTCTCCGTTTCATCTTGGCTCGTCCCCAGCCAGACACAAATAGCAGCAGGGACCGCGCCAAGCGCCACGGGAGAGGAGGAGGAAGCAAAGCGTCTGTGGGTCGAGACTTCTTCCTCGCTGATTTCCCAGCGGTCCTGAAAGACGCCTCATCCCCGTCGCCTGCTCACACCACCTGCCCGACGCAGCCAGTCTGCTGCTGAACGCAGACGCCTCCCGGGAACACGAGAGCTAGAGAGCAACTCGGCTTCTCTGCCGTGCGAAACAGAGCCAAGGGCATGCTGCAAGAGAGGCTGGAGTGACTCTGCGTTTCTACAGGCCGACACCTTGCGGGGACGGGGATCTCGCTGGACTCTCACAGACCCAGCAGGTAGGCACCGCACTACTTTTCACTAATCGCTCCCCCTCTCCCCTCTGGGGAAACGTTTCTTCTGCCTGCCAGAGCCTTCGCGCTCTGCCGCCCTTTCCCTCACGTAAGAACGGCCATAATGGGTCAGAGCAAAGAGCGGTCTAGCCCAGTGTCCTGTCTGCCAACAGCAGCCAATGCCAAGTGCCACAGAGGGAGGGAACAGATCCCTCCTCTGTCGCCCACTCCCAGCCTCTGACAAACAGAGGCTAGAGACACCATTCCTGCCCAGCCTGGCTAACCTGCATGGATTTATTTAGTTCTTTTTTGAAACCTGTTAAAATCCTGGCCTTCAAATCATCCACCGGCAAGGAGTTCCACAGGTTGACTATGCGCCGTGTGAAGAAAAACCTTCCTTTCGTTTTCAACCTGCGACCTGTTTAATTCATTTGGTGAACCCTAGTTCTGATGTGATGGGAACAAGTAAATAACGTTTCCTTATTCACTTTCTCCACACCAGTTGTGATTTTAGAGACCCCCTTAGCCTCCTTTTTTCCAAGCTGAAACGTCCTAGTCTTTTCAATCGCTCTCATATGGCAGCTGTTCCCAACCCCTTCCCCGGCCCTACCTTCACTCACCACCTCTGCCAAGCAGGAAGCCATCTGGCAGATGCAGTAGCCCTTTTGCTACTCCCCTGAGATGGTGGATATGGAGCAGAGAAGCTACATTGCGGTTTTGCAGGCAGGGGATAATTTTCTCAGCACCTCAGAGAAAACGTTAAGATACGAGAGACGATAAGAAGGGCCCTGGAAGTTCAGTTCGATTTTGGCAGGGTAGTGAGGCGACCGCCCTGCTCCCGGTGAGAGAAGGGTTAAGCCCAACCCTGGAGCAAGCGGCCAATCAGGGCCCAGCTGGGGCGGTATAAATAGGAGCTGCTGAGCTCAGGGACACACTCTTGCTCCAGCGGTGGAGCAGGAAGGACCTGGCAGCCTGGCAAGAGTTTCAGTGTTTTTCCGTTTGAAACAACTCTTTCAAAAAGCCGTCTCGTTCCGTGTAACGTGAAAACAATCCAACGCCGTTCGACACGGCACCAACCCTTGCTGTCCCGGGCCCAGCCAGACATTTCATCCGCCCCCCGGATCGTGAGGTCCGGTTTTCGAATGGCCAGCCCCCCAAAGCATCCGCAGCCGTGCCCCCTTCGGATCGCAGAAACCGTGCTGCTGCCGAGAAGAAAGGGAGGAGTCTGACGATCCCCACGAATGGTAACAGCTGGGCCCGGAGAAGGACCGTGCCCAACTGTAGATCCTACAGAGGGATGTGGCCAAATTGGAGAGAGTCCAGAGGAAAGCAACAAACACGATAAGAGAATGTAACCGTCGAGGAGAGGCCGAGGGACCCGGGCGGGGATAGTTGAGAGAAGAGAATGCAGCGGAGGGGTCTCAGAACAGTCTTCAAATAGGTACAAAGTGGATACAAAGGGAACGGTGATGAGTTGTTCTCCGAGTCCACTGAAGGCAGGACAAGAAGAAGCGGGTTCAACTGCAGCCAGGGAGCTGTGGGTTAGATCTTAGGAAATTATTTTAACTTTAAGCAAAGTGATGCTCTGGACAGGGGAGCCAACAGCTCCTGCAGGCCCCTGGGAAAGGTGGGGTAGGAAGGCTGACTCCACAATCCAGGAAGGGACGGAGCCTCAGGCGGAAGGGGCGGAGCCTCAGGCAGAAGGGGCGGAGCCTCAGGCAGAAGGGGCGGAGCCTCGGCAGCCAGCCCTCCACACACACCCAGTCCTTAGAGCTGCCTGGAGCAAGAGATGGAAATTTAAAGGGGCGGGGACTCCAGCCACTACTGCAGCTGCAGTAGAGCAGTGGTGGCCGGGAGCAGCGTTCCCTGTAAGCTGAGCGCTTGGGCAGCCACCGACGAAAGATTCAGATGACGCCTAGCTGATTCGCAGAGCGCCCACAGGGCTGACAGCCGGCAGCCTGTGTTTCTACTGCTGGTGCACATCTGTGTGTCTCGGTGCGCAAAACAAAATTTATTCTGCACATGGGTGGAAAAATTAGAGGGAACAATGTCTGGGGGTCCCAGGCCCCTCTGAATCACCAGGCCCCAGGGCAACTACCCCTTTACCTCTCCCCTCCCTTCCATCAGCAGGCCTGGCTCTGGAGCTTGTGGACTCAACACTTGAGGGTTCTGAGAACAGGTCGGACAAATACCCGTGACTGGTGTCCTAGGTTTACTTGGCCTTGCCACAGGACGAGATGGCCTCCCGAAGGCCCTTCCAGCCCGATAGCTCTGTCCTTCGATCCCTAGCGGCCTCTCTCCCCGCTAGTCCTGGCCTCTCAGGTAGCTTTACCCTGGGACGCGGGAGCCATGGCCGCCGGCGACAACTCCGCCGTGATACGCACCCGGCGCAAGGAGCTGATCGGAATCATCCAGAGAGACCCCGAGAGCGTCTTGGACGAGCTGCTGGCCCAGTCGGCCATCTCCGAAGAGGAGTACGACAGCATGAACCAGATGGAAGACACGGTGGCCAGAATTAGGAAGTTGCTGATTTACATACAGAGAAGGGGGGAGCCGGCCTGCCGCATCTTCCTGGAGTGCTTAGAAAGCTTATTCCCAGGCACAAACCAGCCGTGGCGGCCTTCTGAATATGGTAAGTCGCATGCTGAAGTGGGTTATAGAATCATAGAACCAGAGAGCTGGAAGAGACCTCAGAAGGTCAAGTCCAGCCCCCTGCTCTAAGCAGGACCAATCCCAACTCAATCACCCCGGCCAGGGCTTTGTCAAGCCGAGACTTAAACACCTCTAGGGATGGAGACTCCACTACTTCCCTAGGGAACCCATCCCAGCGCTTCACCACTCTCCTAGGGAAATAATTTTTCCTAATATCCAACCTGGACCTCTCCCACCACAACTTGAGACCATTGCTCCTTGTTCTGCCATCTGCTCCCACTGAGAACAGCCTCTCTCCATCCTCTTTGGAACCGCCCTTCAGGAAGTTGAAGGCTGCTCTCAAATCCCCCCTCACTCTTCTCTTCTGCAGACTAAACAGACCCAACTCCCTCAGCCTCTCCTCCTAGGTCATACGCTCCAGCCCCCGAATCATTTTGGTTGCCCTCCGCTGGACCCTCTCCAGTGCGTAGGTTTGACCTACGAAAGCTGATGCCTTAATAAACCCGAGTCAACAGTGGGCGCTTGTAGCCAAGAAGGCTAACGGCTTATTAGGGTGCATTAGGAGGAGCATTGCCAGCAGAACTAGGGAAGTGATTATGCCCCTTGATTCGGCACTGGTGGGGCCACATTTGGAGTACTCCATCCAATTCTGGAGCCCCCACTGTAGAAAGGATGTGGACGCATTGGAGAGTCCAGTGGAGGGCAACCAAAATGATTAGGGGGCTGCGTGGGGGCACATGACCTATGAGGAGAGACTGAGGGAATCTGTGGGGAAGCCTATTGGCCGGCAGGGTGGGTCTCTCAAAGGAAAAGATGGGGAGATGCCTTCAGAATCGCTGAGCCGCCAAACAGGACGGGCACGAAGACTGGTGTGATCAGCAGCTCCGGCTACTCCTGTACCATCATGGCGCTTCTCCTGCTATTTAGTATTTTGCTTAATGGCCCAGATTCTGGGGCCATGTGAGTGCAGAAGCACCCCAGCTTTCACAAAACAAACCGACACCGTTTCTAGCCAGTGTCTTTTCAGAGGAAAGCTTGAAACAGTGGTCCCAGGGCGGCTCATTAGCTCAGCGCTTGGACAGCAAAGAAAATACCCTCACACCGGGTCAGTCTCCTCCCCAAAGAGCCATGACACCGGGCGCCCATATGGGTCCGACGGGTGCAGCACGCTGCACTCAGTACGTCCACCAGGGCCAGTGGCTGGGCCCCAGAAGGCCCCGGCAGAGCTGCTCCTCGCACGTGCACCACACAGAACCGGTAGCTCGCGGGTGACTCGCATTCATCCTCCGTCCCTGCGCCGTCTGCAGGCTCATCTTTGCCCAGGCGCGCTGGGAAGGCTGCAAGAGCAGCTGGAAGCACAGGGGCGGGTCCACCCTTGCCGGTTCTACTCGGGGACACGCAGAGCTTGGCCTCAGCGCTCAGGGGAGGTCAGCAGAGGGGTGACACTGCCGGGCACGTGCCGGAGAGGCGCGCGCAGAAGCGAGGCACGAGGCAGGCGGGCCGGGGGAGAAGGAGAAGTAGAAAGAGCCTCCAGCAGAAACAAGGAGGAGCCTCATGGCGCTTCGAAGACGAAAGCGCGGGGCCCAAGTGAACGTGTTAGTCTCGCAGGTGCCGCAGGGCGTTGTTTGTTCAGAAGCATTTACCAGGAAGCCGGGGGAGAGCGGAGGAGAAGGAGATGAAAACAGGAATGGAAAAGGCCGGGTAATGAATTAGACATGGTGGTAAGACGTCCTGGCGTCTCCAGGAATTAGCCTCAGAGCGCCCCCTGCTGGCAGTACCTCGCCCGCTGTTACCCGTTTTTTTGTACGTTCTCCCCCACACATTAGGACCTGTGTCCCCCCCCCCAGGCCGCAGCACCCGTCCCTCAGGGTTCTGCCTGAAAGGAGGCTCATCTCCCAGGGAACCCTGTTACCCTCTACGCCGCCATCTTGCCTCAGTGACCCACTGCCGTTCGTCAGCTAGCCCCATTCCCTTGGGGGCAAATGGCCATTTGAACCGGCTGCTTCACCACTGGCAAGGGGGGTTGGCCCTGCTGCCTATTCCCGCCCTGGCTGCTCCTCCACAGCCCTGGTATCTCCCTGGGGTCTATTCAGGCCTGAGCGCCCCTGGCTCACCCTGCCTTCCCCCAGCGCTGCTCTGGCCAACGTACTCTGCTAGCAGGCAGCTGGGTCCCTCTCCCTCCAGGGCTGGAGCAAGAGTGAATCCCTCCTGGCCAGCCATCTTTTTATACAGCCCTGCTGGGCTCTGATTGGCTGCCTCAAACCCTCTCCCGATTGGCTCCCAGTCTCCGCCCTCTCCCAGGGCTGTTTTAACTCTTTCCATTCCAGGACAGAACAGCCACCCATTACAGGGTCTTAGAGGCACATCAATGTAAATGCTCTCAAACTTAACAAAACTTTTGTCTGGGAATTTTCTAGAGCTGTGGGCTGCATGGTCCAATTAGGCAGGTAAAGAAAGTCAATTAACAACGATTTCGTTTTGATGATTGAGTTGGGGTTGGTCCTACTTTGGGTAGGGGGCTGGACTTGATGACTCCTGAGGTCTCTTCCAGCCTAGGATTCTAACAATAGACTGCTCTTCTGTTTTTCCTCCTCTGCTTTCCTTGGTAGATTTTTTCAATCCAGAGCGAGATTCACGGCCTGTGCGAAACCCAGAGCCAAGGGAGAGGGATTTTTTCAATCCAGAGCACCATCCAAAGGTGGAGGAAGGAGATGGTCTCGCTCCAGAGCAGGAATCAGAGACCCTGCGAGACCCGGAGCCAGAGGAGAAAGAGGATTTCGATCCAGAGCTGGAGGAGGGAGACGGTTCAAATCCAGAGAGAGAATCAGACACTGAACGGGACCCGGAGACGGGCGGTTCCGATTTGGAGCAGGAACCAGAGACTCAGCATGACCAAGAGCCGGATGAGGAAGTTGGTTCAAATCCAGAGCAAGAATCAGAAACGGAACCGGACCCTGAGTCAGAAGGTTCAAATTCCGAGCAGGAGTCAGATACCCAGTGAGACCTAGACCCTGGTGAGAAGAAAAAACTTCTCCCAAAAGCTTCGTCCTCATAGAGGAGTCCTTCTGTATTGATAGAGTCTGCTTTTACCAGCCACGGGCTGCCCTCAGTGTCAACTTAAAGCCATGAATTCCCTCCAGGAGGCTGCCGATGGAGAAGAGCAATTCCATTGCGGTTGCCAGAACTGTGTTGTAACTGCAACTGCGGATCCCTTTGTCACGTGGGCATCAGCATGGGAGGAAGGAGGACCACAGCATCACCAGAGTTTCTTTATCCATCAGGACATGGAGTCTGGGAACATGCCGCAGGGAATCTCAGATGGGCCAGTTGCGATTTCCCTGGGGCGAGGAGAGGAGAAATCAAATACACCAAGTGAACCATGAAACCCGGCCAGTGAGAATGGGAAGGGACGTCAGGGTACCGACAAGATGGACAGCTGCCTGCAATCGTTTCTCGAGCTGTGGATCTTGCCGATGCTGGATCTGCTCAGAAACGGTAGCGGATGCAGAATTCGGCAGTGTCGTTTCACGAGCAAAATTCCTGCTCTCCAACTTGCGGCAGCTGCTGATTGGTGCGAACCAATCAGGTTAACTTCGAGATCTTGGTTAAACCACTAGGTAGGTCTCGCTCCAGAGCAGGAATCAGAGACCCTGCGAGACCCGGAGCCAGAGGAGAAAGAGGATTTCGATCCAGAGCTGGAGGAGGGAGATGGTTCATCTACCTACCTACCAACCAGCTGTTTTTCTCCCGGGGATATCTGCTATGGCTCCTCTCTTGCCCAACCAAGGCGAATCTTTCCCCTCTGGTACCTCATTCTTGTTGAGGCTGCTTCTTTACATTTCACGGCTATTTCCTTGATGCGGCCAGTTGCATTTTCTTCATGGGATGCCACCCATTGTCATGTGGCCCAAATACCCATTTTACTAGCCCCGTCTGAAGCTCCTCACCCTCCGAACCAACCAAAAGTAATTGGGTGCTTCTGGCCAATTTCCCCATCTCCCTCTTCATCCCGTTATTCTGAGCCGGAAACTCACTCCAGGTCTGGTGTGGATCCCATCCCTCGCACACACGGTGATGGACGTGGGATGTGTTTTCCGATGGAGGGCAGCGGGAGGGGGGAGGAGTTGTCCCACAACTGCTCAATGCCCAGGGATGGTGAAAAAGGCCGACAATGATGGGAACTATTAGGAAAGCCATAGAAAAGTATCACTGAGCCATTACACAAATGCATGGGTTCCGAACAGGGAAAGCGACGTGATCCAGGGTACAGAAGAGCTTCCACATGAGGAGAGGGTAAAAAAGGGGAACGCCATGTAGCTTACAACAGAGAGGACTAAAGGGGAACATGATGGAGTCTTTCAAATAAGGAACAGTGTAAGAAAAGCGAACAGGGAAGTGTTAAGTTACCCTTTCCTGCAATACAAAAAACAGGGCTCACCTGAGAAAATTAACAGGCAGCAGGTTCAATATGAAGGGCAAGTACTTAATAGACAATTAAGCAGTGGAACTCACTGCTGCAGGATGTTGTGATGGCCAAAAGCATAACAAAAAAACCTGGGTAAATTCATGGAGGATTCAATGACTGTTACCCAAGATGGTCAGGGACACAACCCCATGCTTGCCGTGACCCTCAACCCGTGACTGCAAGAAGCTCAGAATGGAAGAGAGATAGATCACTCCATAACTGCCTTGTTCTGTGCTGTCCACAAAAGCGTTACTGGCCACAAGTCGGAGACAAGATACTGGGATACATTTGTCTGACCCAGCATGGCACCTCTTATCTTTCTGAGATAACCTTCCTTTTCTGATGGTTACAAACCTTCTTCTGATCTTCTGCCTCAATTACTCCCTGGCCAATTAATTCCCATGTGTTCTTGGGCCAACATTGTCCTTTAGCTTCAGTAGCTGTTCTCCTTCCCTGGTATTTAGCCCCCGAAGGATGGGATTTCCAAGTTGCTATGTTGGAGAGGACATTTTCAACACATTTTTCCACCATCAAAAGAGCTGTGGTAGAAAACCAACAAGGCTGAATGGATCAAGCTGTGAAACAATGACCCGATCATCAGAGGTCCACTATCTTAGGTACATGGAGAAAACAATTCAGATTAAGATAGGGTACGATTTTAAAAGCAGAATAGCTATTCCTTATTAGCCTCATGTGTAGACACACTTATTCTGGAATAAGGTACCCATATTCCAGAATCAATGTGCTCCCATAGGGAGAGAATCCGGAATAGCTCATCAGGAATAACTCCATGTGTGGACAAGTCATACATCCACATGGGGAGTGATGGAGGAATAGCTACTGAGGGACAGACAAGCACGGAGATGCTTCCCTTATCGGGAGTCGGCTTCTGGGCCTGCTAAAACGATGTCAACGGATCTGCTCCTGTAACCGAAACGTGAGGGTTATCTAGCTTGGCTTGTAGTAAGGCAGAAGATGGCTTGCCAAGATTACATTTTTATTGGTAGCTGTGGATAAACGTGGCTTTCACCATACACACATGAACTGATGCAAAAATATTTCCATCGACAATTATCCAAATTTACAGTGAGCCAAGCTAAGAAAAACGCTGCCTGAGAATGTAAGAGAATTTGATTTAAAGCTATCGACGGTGCACTCTTTGACTTAAGCAGTGTTGCTGTAGCCGTATCTCTCCCAGGATCTTAGCGAGACCAGGGGAGCGAAGTAGGCTCTCTTATTGAACCAATTTCTGTTGGGTGAAGAGAAAAGTTTTCGAGCTACATAAAACTTCTTCATGTTTTGGAAAAACCAATAGGAGAATCACAGGTAAATACAAAATGGAACAGATAATTTAGCCGAAGTATTCATGTTTTGGGAAAGCGACTAGGAGCATCACAGGTAAATAAATGGAACAGATAATTTAGCCGAAGTAGGTTGCTTTTGTTCTAAGGGGTGTGGCCCTTTAATACCCGATGATACCCCTGAGATACAGCAACGATATTTTTATCTTCTGAAGAGACAACTTCAGCTCCCTGAGAGATTTCCACCACAGCTTCAACTACCACCACCCAGCCATCCAGTTCCCACTGGAACATGCCTACACCACCACGAACTTCCTGGACACCACAACCAGCTTCAACAATGGAACTCTACCGAGAAGAAACTTCTGGTTCACCCTCCGACCTTCATGGAGCCAAACACACCAAGAAATCGGTTATCGACAGCCAGGCCCTCCGACGTTCCGAGGCGTAAGTCTGGGATCTCCACCTCAACCCAACACTGACTGCAGCAAACATTGCGACAAAGAAGTAGACCCCCATCACGGGATGGGCCACCCAAACACGCTGTGAGAAGACAGAAATACCATCCCCCCTCCAACCACAGACCCTTAATTGTCACCTAACACCCACATTGGAACCCATAGGGGGTGTCAGCAGATAACTACAACCCATACTCAATGGGGATCCCATCCTGGAAGAAATCTTTCAGGAATCACAACTTCTGACCGTCAAACAATCCCCCACTCCTCCAAGCTTCTCCTTGAAGAAAGCAGACACACCTCCACTGCTACCATGATCCACACAAGACACCGTTCACGAGCCAGGGTCCTACACAACTGACCAGAGACACTGGATTTGTGGCTTATTTCAACAACATGTAACCCACGAACCACCCCTTTTTTTTTTTTCCTTGTTGTTGTCCTATCGTTAGAGGAGCGTTAATGGGCCATTCCACCTTGAAGGGTAGATCTACACTACGCAGCGATGGTAGTGACAAGGCTGCGTCGCTAAAAGTCGACGCACGTGTACACTGTTGGTTGGCACTTTTGCTCCACAAAAGACTTCCCCCCACCCACTCCTGGGTGCTGTGCTGGCAAAGCAGCGTTGGCACTGCTGCGGCAAAACTTCTGTGGTTCAGGGGTGGGCGGGTTAAGCACGTGTGAATGACAACTAGGCTTTCCTACCAACCGAAAGTAGTCCAATAAAAGCTATGTCTCCTCCGCCTTGTCTGGCTAGCATACTTTGACTTGGGAGGTTGACAATCTGGGTTTGAACAACTAGCATCGCAGTACTGTCTGACCCGCTCCCCCATCATTTCGCACAAGGGTGAAAACCCTCATTGGTAAAAACTTTTAAAAATAAACATTGGGATGATCCACTGGAAACTACATCAAGGAAATTCATTCAAGTCTCGTCGTAAGACGGGATGAAACCAGACCCACCTGTTTGTCATTTTTCCTCAAACGTTTTGTTCCACTGCCTAGAGAAAGCTCTTTGGGCTCATCTCGAGTACGGGGAATACTCGAAAGAAGATATGCAAACTCTGTGGGAATTTGCATAGCTTCTTCCGATTGCCCTTTCCGAGCTTTCGAAAGTGAAAGTAGTTCAGACGTGGCTTTTTCGGCAAAGCC